ATATTTAAGAAATACTTGCTTTTGATCTGAAATATGTAGCAAACATATAAATATTTCCTAAATATGTATGTAATATTTTGTGTTATCTGGGTGCAACGAAAAAAAATTCCTAACTCTAAAACGGTAAATGCTATAAATCTACAATTTCTACAGAGTATTAAAGATACATCGGACCACCAGTTAACAAAATTTCAGTAAGTTTTAAAACTGCGCGGATTTTTGAAAATATTCTAAACTTGAAGGAAAAAATTCCTAACTCTAAAACTGCAAATGCTATAAACCTGAAATTTCTACACAGTATTAAAGATTTATTTAAAGTTGAAAAAGTTATGAAATTGCGAGGATTTTCGCCAAACATTCAAACTTGAGGGCAACAAATTCTTCAACCGCTTATTAGATCATGCAAAAAAAAATCCAAACTCTAAAACTGCAAAGGCTGTGAACCTGCAATTGACCGAAAGAAGCTGTGGAGAATCGTCAACTAAATCGTTTTTCAATTTGTCCGGCGAAACTTCGAAACCTTTCAAATCAATCATCATCAATCCGATTATTAAGCAATCATTGGCAAAAAAGTTGTCGTTACACACACTGGAAAATCAATTAAGCTGATTGCCCACTATAATGACTGAAAATTATACAGATAGAGAATTTTCCATTGACAAAATTCCATTAAATCTCTAGGCTCGAATTAATTAACAATTTTGCTTAGGCTACTCGTTGATGTCGACTTTTTTGAACGAAACTGGGCGCCCAATTGTCTACTCCTGCAGCTGGCCAGCCTATCAGGAACCGATCGGCATCCATGTAAGTTCTATTACAGACTTTTTCCGGCTTTTAACCGAAAGCATCCTCTAGCCAAACTACGACAAAATGTCGCAAGTTTGCAATTTGTGGAGAAACTGGGACGATATAGACGACTGCTGGACAAACGTTACGAGCATCTTGCGCTGGTTTAGCGACAATCAGGACAGAATCGCCCCGCATTCAGGTCCTGGCCACTGGAACGACCCTGACATGGTAAAAACTTCCCGTTTTTTTTCCTTCAAATTAGTCCGCTTTCGTAGTTGATTATTGGCAATTATGGACTCAGCTATGAGCAGGCCAAGGCTCAGATGGCCATCTGGGCCATAATGGCCGCTCCCCTGATCATGTCAGTGGATCTCAGAACAATTGAGCCGAAGTTTCGCGCGATTCTACTCAATCAGGACGTGATCGCCATCAACCAGGATTCCATGGGCGTGCAGGGGCGCTTGCTTCTAACGGTCAGCAATAAAGTGGCAAAAAATGCGAATTGTCTGCTTGAAAAGCCCCTTTTGGTTTGCAGAAGGACCGCATCGATTTTTGGACTAAACCCATCAATCCAGTGGTGAAAGACAGTTCAAGTTTCGCTATTGGGCTCTTAAGCAATCGGGTCGATGGGTATCCTTATCGGGTCAATTTCACGTTGGCTGACTTGAATGTAACCAGGGGCCGAGAATATACCATCAAGGTAACAGCTTGGGGTCTATGATTATCTTGATGATTTTGGGCTTTGTGCCAACCAAGTTAAAATGCCAATAATAAGAATTATACTTTATAATGCGACCAAACAATGCCTTTCTCATCGGTGTCAACACTGTACAAAGAAGTCATTCCCCATTAGGTCAACACTACTAAATGTTATTTAAAATCTGAACTAAAATTCAGCAGATTTTCCGCTGTAAAGAATTAGATAATTATTTTTAGGACATTTACGATTCGGTAACAATAGCCGAGACAATCAACCCGGAAGATCTGATTTTCATCAGAGTGAAACCTTCAGGTGAGTCGCTTAGGTGTACAAATATGTGTTATAAGTGTCATTAATCGAATAGCGTAGATAGGGATTTCATCATATTCTTTTAAAATTTTCACGCTATTAGGATTACAAAGATAGCGTTTGATCCGGCCGCTCTTTCATCGGAAAAAAACTATCCAAAATTGAAATATTCTGTGAGAATGATAAGAAAAATTACGTATAAAACATGTAGGTTCATGCTAATCACCGCTACCGAAAATGAAAGCGTTTTCGTAGATCCTCTTCACTCTTGGCCTTAATTTATCAATCGTTGGAAAGTGAAATGCCAACACCGAATCTAGTGAAAGTCTTTCGCTTTAGTCCAAACACACACGGTTTTAGGATTGCGACAGGCGTTTCGTGAAGAAATTTTGTAAATATTTTATTTCGGTTTTAGGTACCGTTTTACTGACTGCCACCCCCACACAGGAGCAAATCAACGTAACGAAAGTCTAATTACCGGTTTGGTGGAAATAATTAAACAGGAAAATACAATAAAATTATTTAATAAACATTTAATATCCTCATATAACAAATTGGTTAATTGACACGACTGGAAAGTGTAAAAAACATTTTTTACAATATTTTACATATACAACATTGCACACATCCTGCTTCATATTGGTCTAAACAATGCGAAAAATACAGCCAAATATCTTCAGAATCTATACTGGGTGTTTCCAGTAAAATCTGCACCATTGAACACCTGAGCAGAAACACTCCAACTGGCATTTTCGCCAACTTCAAGGGAGCAGATTTTAGCAGCAACATCCTGTATAAGCACAGAGTTTTACTGCCAGCCAGATAAAAAAGAATCCTCAGTTCAAATTTGCTGGAACTTTGAACAAAATCGAGCAAAGTTCAAGAAGAAAACAAGTGATCTGAACAATTATATCGTCAAGCAGACTGATTAACTAACTGCGCTTAAAAATCGGGGAAAATTCCCCAGAAAAACAGAATAAATAAAAACCCATTCATGTCAAAACCATCACTTTGGTACCCATTTAACAGCGTTCAATATTGAAAACAAGCGGATAATCCACCTGTCTGCATATACTATAATAAAAATATTTGACTATGAGTGGCCGTTGGTGATCGTTTTGGAAATCCTATCGTAAACCCTACGATGCTGCTCATCGATTTTTGTCAGGACGAAGGTTCCCGGGAAGAAATGGCTGATATCTCCTACAGGTTCATAGGGAACCTTGTGGGCGCTCTGCTGCCTCAATTCCAGCGTTGCCTCAAACTTCTCTGGGGCGATTTTCGAGCGTTTCGCCAACAAAGGTTCCACATAGCTAAGGTTGTTCTTCAATGTCTGAAGAGCGGCGTTATTTTTAATGGTGATTGAGTAGAAACTGGATGCCAGGCCCGATCCATAGGAGAACATAGCGACTCGATTATCCACTAGATTTTCCAAGGATCTAGAGACGATGTATGAAACCAGACCACCATAGAGGGACGACGTGTACATGTTTCCGATATTAGCAGCTATAAGCAATGAAGGCAAAGTTCTTTGGAGAAAGGCCGCATTGCTGGCGCTCAAAAAAGCCTTTTCAACATCCCGGTCAAAATAGGAGTCTTTCAGCTGGATGTTGGCGAACTTCTCCAAATCTGGATGCAGTTCGGGCTTGCCTTCTCGCACAAAATCATTCAAAGCCAGTCTCCCAACAGATTTCTGCACCAGCTTGCAGTAGGGGGTATGGAAAAGGATTCCATCAAACGACTCAATACTCACAGGCTTCTGCAACAGCTTTTCTGCCTTCTGGCAATAAACCTGGTAACATTTGTCCAGAGCTTCCAAGTAGCACTGAATGGAAAGCTTGCCGTCCACCACTGGGTACTCAGAAGTCAAGTCTGGCTTATAAAAGTCATAGGCATGCTTGAAGAATGAGCTTTTGAGCCCCCTGTCCACTACCAAAGGCGCATTCGGGCCTACTAACATGGCCACAGCTCCAGTTCCTCCCGTAGGCCTTGCAGGGCCTTTGGCGTAAACGGCAATGTCTGCGGCCACCACAAGAGCATATCGGCCGTTCCAGGAAGAGGATTCTACCCAATTGATGGCGTTAAAGAGGGCGGCAGTGCCCCCATAGCAGGCATTAGTGGTGTCAATGCCCTCAATATCAGTCACTCCGTGAGGCTCAAACAGTTGCATCAGAACAGTTTTTACACTTTTCGACTTGTCGATTATTGTCTCGGTGCCCACCTCTAAGCGCCCTATTTCTTGAGGCTTTACCTGGTACCTGGTTAGAAGGTTGTCCACCACAGTAAGACACAGGGAGTTGATATCTTCTCGGTCATTGCAGAAGCCCATTTTTTTCTGCCCCAGTCCGACAGTGTACTTTCCAGCCGACACTCCATCGTACTGTTCCAGCTCAGTTTGGTCCACATACTGAGCCGGGAAAATTATTTCCATTGCAATAATTCCCACATCTTCAGGCCAGGCACTCATTTTGTCGATTTTTAATTACGAAACGAACTGATTTAAAGGCGCGAGTCGACCGGTACAAATATACAACTCGACTGTAACAAGCAAGTGATGCTTTCCGCAGGAAAATTGCTTTCTAAATAGCAAAAAAGTGAGATTACCCCCCTACTTTTTGTCAGATAACCTCTTTAATCTGGATGAGTTAACCTAGCTTTTTGAGAGTGACAGGTGACGGTTTCTTACTTGAGCCGGCTGAATGTTGCCAGAGTTTTGGACAAAATGGCGCACTTTGGAGGTGTCATGAGGAAATTGTTATTGAAATTAACTGCGCTTTCCAGAGGAATTGCTCGTGTACTCTGAATTGTGTAACTCAAACTCATTCTGGGCTTAATACGTTGAATTAAAAAAACCTTCAATTTTGTCAAACGTAAGTAAATAGTTGACTAGGACATAAAAAATACTTTGGATGTGTTTCTACGACTTCCACATACATTTAAGTATAATTCCGTTTACTCTAGTTATTAGCGAGGAAGTGATTAGTCTGTTTTTGGCTGTCTTAAAGCCTTTTGTGGCACAAACGTTCTAAAAATTGAACTTACCATCCAGCTGCTCAACTCGAAAGGCGTGGTGGTTCATTGTTCCAGTCGCAAAGTCCTCAAAACTCCAGCAATTACCCCAAAATCACTTTACACTCTAAGTCTGCAGTAGAATTCATAATATTCACTCCACTTGAATGGTCACAGCATGTCAAGATGGGATTCTTGGGTGTTCGTAAACGTCACAAAAACCCAATTCAAAAATCGCGTTTTTGGAACTAAAACTGCACTTCCGATGCGGAAATGACGCGCAAACGACGAAGCAAAAATTCTATTTTCAGAAAATTAACAGGCTGAGGCACGGAACCCGAAAAATCCTGCAATTTTTTGAATTTTTAGCTGAGAAATTTGCGCACTGTCTCGTCTATCTACGATTAGACAACTGACTGGTTTGAAACGATGACACTTCCAACATTTGTTTAAGCCAGTAATTCATACACAAATGCTTGCTTAAAAATCAGTAGATATTATCTAAAATCACCTTGATACTTTTAGCAAAGCTCTGCCTATTAAATAATTACTGGACATTAATAGCAAAATAAATTAAAAAAGGACACCTATCCTTGCGCCCAGTCAATCTCTCTCAGCAAAACCAGTCAAAATGAGGTTGTGTATAGTCAATTGTCAACGTTTGTTTACATTCATTAATTGTGTTTGTGTCACGTTTGTGTGTAAATTAATAATGTTATCTGTGTTCATTAAACATTTATGGCATTCGTCCTAGCAGTCGCAGTTCAAGATGCAGGAGGTTCTCATCGAATTGGCCGAAACTCCCAGTGTGTTAGTGCAAGACAAGTTTTATCGGCACTTTTCCTCATTGGACCCCACCAGTTACCAGGAAATAGAGGAACTAATCGCAAAGGTATGGGCTCTAATAGAGACCAATCACATTTCGAAGGGCACTCTCTATCTATCGCTGCTGCAAAAATCCAACAACGATCTCTTGGAGAAATGCATCAGCTGGGAGAGAGGGACTTTGAACTCTAACGTTCTTCAAAACCTTCATGAATTGTTTGAGTTTACGGTTTATACGGGGAAGCATTGGTTCTTGGAGCTGATCAGGAACAAAAGCTCCCCTGACATCGACCAGCTACTTCCAGAAGCAGCCTATCAGAAACTGGTTTACCTCCGAATAGTTCACATGACTAATGACCCTTCATGGGCATTTGATAGGGGGCTGCTTGATCAAACATTAGCTGGCTGTTCAAACAATGTCGCTGATAACTTTTGGGTTTACTACACAAAGGAAATTGCCCATTTGCTCCAACTGTTTAAGATTTGGCAAGATAATTGCCCATCAGGGCTCAATGAAAGAGAATTCCTGGCTGTCGCCAGCCAGAGGAGTATTCTGGATTTAGCGTCCCACTATCTGCAGCTGGATGCCATAGAGCAGGTTTTCGCCCAATTAGACCAATCTCAATTCCCCCATGCCGAAGACCTGGAAAATCAAAGAACGACTCTGGCCTGCTTTGGCTTACTAGCAAAGTTCCTCAGCCTCCTGCTGCATGGAGACAAAGATATTGATGTTCCCAAGCTAAAAACAGAGATACAAATCGGATTCATGCAACTAAAGAGCCACTGCCTGCAAATTGAGCTGCTGCGGGTGATGTTTGCCTGCATTTTCACCAAGCAACATCACATCAAAGACTGCCAGGGCGACGCGTTTATTTGCAACTCCAAAGAACTGAACGCGATGTTATTTACTATTAAGGCCCTAATTGAAGCGCTGACCGAGAACAAGGCTTTTGAGGATGATCCGCACAGTAGTAGAGAACTTCAGGAAATCCTTCAAGTTGTATCAGATGCCGCCTGGCGGCTGAGTGTGGTTGTTAATGTGATAAGCCCACAGAAGAGCCAGAAAAAGTTGCTTTACTACATGCAGGCCGATCCAGAGGGCCTCGTCAACCTCTGCCTGAAGCAGGGCCACTTTGAACGGGCCTTCCAGGTGTTAAAGGTGAGTTACAGTTGCGCAATTGCTTTTTCCAGGTTTTTCTGCGCGTACTTTTCATACGTTGTGGGCTTGTAGTGTTTCAAATTACCCTCCTTGTCGTAGAGGACTCCTGGAGGGTTTTTGGCGCAGAACTCCTTGACAAGGTCAATCTCTTGACGGGGGTGGCAGAATTTGCATGTGCAGCAGCAGCAGCACCATCCTAATAATTCGGGGTTTATTTTGAGCATTTGGGTGGTTGAATTGTTACCATATTGGCACCACAAGGGGACTGCAATTAGGCAGTAGGCACATAGCCAGACGGTTGCAATGAGGGCGACCTTTTTGAGCAGGGAGAACTTGGTTTGGTTGTTCAGGTGCTTGGAGCGGGCTTCGATCCAGAAGCAGCGCACGTCTTCGATGGCTGTAATCGTTTCAGTTAGTCTCATTGATTAGCTTGGAGGTATGCACTGTAAAACCTAGTCCAGAAGTGTCTTCTGACGTGCAATTTCTTGGCGTCAAGTCCACCAGGGACTTTACGGCTTCCGCTGCACTTTCCTCTTCTTTCACCTCTGAGTATTTGAGGGAGTTATTGGCCTTTTTTTCAGCTTCCTCATACTGCGCCCTCAACTCCGCATAGTTGTAATCGCTGGCATTCGACGCCTCTCTTTTCTCCACGCTGTTGGACTTTGCATCTTCGTCAAAGTACACGGTGTCCTCATTCGGGACTATGTTGTTGTTGCTGTCCACAAACCCCGCTATCCAAGGCTTCGCTTCCTCCAGTTCTGGATTCGATTCCGGGTAAATTTGCTGAGTTCTTCGAACCTCCAACGGTTTTTGCTGTGCGTTTTCCACGCGCGCTAAACTGTGAAGTCTGAAGTATTTATCAGGCGCGTTTGCATGCAACCGCGCTTCTTGGCTAATCAGCTCTTCTTCGTCGTAGATGTCCTGGATATCGGATGGATCCAGAGGATCGGAAATCACGAACTCTTCTTCGTATTTTAGCTTGACTTCGTAATCGGGGGGCCAGATACATTTCGCGCAGGCAAATAGTGAAAGAATGAGGAATGGTTGATGCATTGCGAGATAGTAACGGGTGGCATGAATTGACAGTTTCAACTTTCAGCAGCTTATTTGTTGGTGGATTGATTCCTAGTTTTCCTGCTCTCTTCCTTTTCATCCTTTCTCGGATTGAATTAGGTCAATGTGTTTACAGGGCTTTCATCTACATACTTCTTTGGCCTGGTTTTCATTCCTCTTCAATGCTTTTTGGTTTTAACTTGTTTTTTGCTCTTCGGAACATCATCCTCTTCCTGATGTTGCGGAATTCATAATCTATTTCCCCGGATACTTTGTTTGCCTTGTTTTGGGGAGGAAGCGTTTTCCTCTTTTGATTGCATTCTTAGTCCCTGCTGTCTGATAAAAAGAGCAAATTTGCCAATGTAACGTAAAAGTCTTAGGTAAAGACTACTAGATAATGTAATCGCATACTAACTCGATTAACGAAGGGCATTTGAAAGGCAGATTGAGCGATTAATTGCCTTCCATTCCTTAATTCAATTTATCTGGTCTTTTACTTGAATTAGTAAACCAAATATTTAGATTTTGAGTCAAGTTCAAGATTGTCTTCGGCTTCAGACATTCTGATAAAAGTGATGCCAATGATGCTTTTTATCCTTCACTATCAGATTTTCAACATGCAATCCACGCCTTTGGCCCAAGAGATCATCTACACGGATCAGCTGCAGGATCTAAAGCAGAACCTGAAACGCACTGCAAAGTTGCGCCAAATGGGCGAAAACCGCCCCGACAGCTGGATGAAAATCCCCAACGACAAGCTGGATCTGGATAAAATCGTCCAGACCTTTTTCCGAAAGCTGCCGCCGCCCCAACAGGAGGATTCCTCGCTCAACCATGCGATTTTTATGAACGTTCTGGACCTGGCCATCAGCCAGACTCCATCCAGAGATTTGGTGCCGTTGGCTTGCAAGCTGAGCCCTCGGGATGTCGGACAGACGCCCTTCTCTTTGTTCACCGAAAAGTTGCTGAAATTCTGGAATGAGCCAGGTGATCTGGATCTAGTCAATTCGCCCTTGGAACCGGATACACAAAGGAAAAGCGAAGATTTTTACGCAACTATTCAAAACATCTACAGTGAATTTTGCGATATGTTGCTGCTGAATGAGCCAGGGTTTCTGGATAAGGACCATCCAAGTCACCAAGTGATCCAAAGGCTGCAAGAGCAGTGCAGCAGCTATTTGGAATTGCAGTTCAAACCGGAGGAGCTGACAAACTATTTGCAAAAACTCTGGAACTACTTGCGGGCATTTTCCAGGGTTCTGTACATTGAGAGGGATAACTCGGATTTAGTGGCCGAAGGCCACATTTCATCCTACTTTAAGCTGTTGGGCTACAACCGGTCGGAATTGATGGGAAACCTGCTGTTCCAACAGAATCTCAATCCTGCAGAGTTTGAGAGGCACTTTGGCAAACTGAAACTGGACTTTGTCTATCACGTGGTGGGGAATTGCTTCCCCACCATTAACTTGCATGCAGACGAGAATGTGGCCAAAGAAGAGCTTTATCATGAGAACGTTTTGTATCCTCCATCTGAGTCCATGATCAGCTACATCAGAAAGCGCAATTGGCTGCTGGCGCTGATTCTGATCGAGATGTACAAAGTTAAAGACCTGGAGTTTGATGTAGGCGAGTTGCGGATCAGAAACTTTCTCAATTATCTGCATCTGCCGAAAATCCAGCATCTCCAGCCGCTGTTCAACAACAACGAAATTATAACGGCCCTACAAAACGACATTTCGTTCCAAAAAGTCCAGGAGTTTGTTCAGAACAACCGACCAAGTGAGGAAGATCGGCTGAAAAGCACTACTTGGAGGCGACTGGCTGGTGTTCTGGATTCCATCCCAGAGAAACAGCTGAAGCACGAGGATTTCCAGTCACTGAAGGATTTGGTTTTAGCCAATTTAGGCAGCGAGCGTGTTATGGAAATTAAGGACAGAGACGCTCGTTTCAATCTTCTGGTGGGAAACTTGAAGATTTGGCCACTGGACGTGTGCATTAGAAGCATTAAGTCGGAGATTTCCCGATTTGACCAGACGGATGACCACAAGGTGGACGAGCTGAAGGCTTGGCTGGAGCATATCGAGCAAAGCAAGCAGGTAGGTTTTTCACTGGGCAAACATGGTTTTCCTACAAAAATCCTTCATGGATTTCCAGGTGATGAATGTGTTGGAAGTGGAGAACTGGGCGAGTCTTTATGAGATGTGCGCCTTCCAGCCTCAAGCCGTCCTCTATAAGTTGCTGGAAAGCAAACAGGTTCAGGCTTAGTTCAAGCTCTGCAATGGTAAATTTCACTTAAAATCGCTCTTTGTAGGTGGATTTACTTATCGAGTTCCTCCAACTGCACGAAGTGAGCGAAGAATTGCTACTCGGCATCGACGAACACTTTATGGAAATGGCATTTGACATGGATCTGGACTTCGAGAGCGTTCAGCGAGTGTTCAACTTCCTATCGCCCGATCGCATCATCGATCTTTGCCGGAACCTTCTGAGCCTTCTCAGAGAGGTTCGGCACTTGCAGATGGTGACCGACCACCTGCTCAAATACACTCAGGAGGACAATCTAACTAGCGTGGCTCTGAGTCTGAAGCTGCTGTCACCGCTCACTGAAAGCGGGTTCGATCAGCAGCTGCTGTTCCTGCTGAAGCATCCGTTAAGCATCATTGAGGTGCTGATCATGAACACGCAACTGGATAAGCTGGGCGACGTTCTGGGAGCGATTCCGGCCGACAGTGATATTGTTTCGGTCGCAGATGTCGATGCGCTCCTGAGGCATTACGCTGAAAAAAGCCTGGACTTTCGTGTCATCGCGCAACCGAATCCCGATTTGCTCAGAACTCCCGAGCACAGTTTGATGCAGTCTTTGGACTCGGTGCTATTGGGATTGCATTATTCAGGTAAAGCTATAATTTTTTAAGGCGATCTGCATTTCAAACTCTCCATAAGTTGAGGGCTTCGCATTTGTTGAAGTTCTCGCCAATTTGAGGAGGGAGACTTTTTCCCAGAAGTGTGTACTGTTTTCAGCTTTTATTATGCCCGACAAAGTGCCCGCACGAGACGAATGGGTGCCGAATACGGAGGTGATTGAATGCATGTGCTGCAGGAACGAGCATTTTTCGATGTTCAACCGAAGGCACCACTGCAGAAGATGCGGCAGGGTGATTTGCTACACCTGCTCCCAAAGGCGGATGCTCGTAAGTGATTCTTCGCCTGCCACTCTATTGCTGCTGCTGATTCCCAGCTTCCACAATTCTTAGGTGCCCACTTACGGAGACATTTTAGTGCGGGTTTGCATCCAGTGCTATCGGCAGACGTTTGCCGAGAACAGCTTAGCTGACGAGAGCATCGCCACGAGATCCTATCTGAATAATTACTGGATGCTCACTAGCGATCCTGAGCACAACTCCATTGTTAAACAGGAATTTTCTTATGAGTTTGCGCCTAGTGTGTCCCTGTGCTTGGCCCTGATGAAGTTCCACTCCAAAAACGACACTTATTCCACGTAAAACTGTTGTTTTTGCGATGTTCCTCGAAGTTTCACTGTAATTGTTTAGGTTTCTGCTGAACCAGTGCGAGGTCCTGCTGAAACTGGTGGTGCCCAATCAGGAACCCCTGCAGGAAATCGACTACATGCTGGTTATCAGAATGCTGAAGTGAGTAGCGAAGCTCCGCGGCAAGCAGGGTTTTATGCAAGTTTTTCAGGTCTTTGGCGCTAGCAGCCAAAGTGGTCTCGGTGGACTGCAGCAGTCCACATTCGAACGTCTCAGCTGCCGACCAAATTCTGATGCGAGCCGAACTGCTTGGACTTCTGGCCGAACGCGGCTGCTTAAACCTGCTGCTCACTCCTAGCAGTTCCTGTTTTGTCGATCCCACTGCCTTGATGCGATTTATCGAGAAGCTGCTTGAAAAAGAACAGTGGACGTTGGCTTTGGAGGTTTCCACCAAGGCTGGAATGGACAAGTCCGGTAAGAGGCTTCAGCGGTGCTAGAGGAGAGGGCGAGTAGTAACTGATGAGTTTTTAGGAGTGTTTGCCGCCTGGGGCAAAAGCTGCCTAATAGCGGGCGATTTGGCATCAGCACGGGAAAAGTTCAGCAAGTCATACGACACCGAGCATTTCACATTGAAGGGGATCAAAAGCCTGTCGAAACTGAACGAAATCATCAACATTCTGGAATCCAGATCGGACAGCATCGACGCAGAGCTGTTGAACAACCACCGAAAGCTCCTGGAGGCCGGCCAGGCCACCACCCAGTCAGATCGTGCGGTTTTCATACTCAGCAAATTGAAAAACCTCAACAATATCGCTAGCGGAAACTATGCGACCAGCAAGGGCAAAACGACGAGAAAACCCAAGCTGCACGATACGATCTACCAGGAGTGCGTTTATTACTTGGACAAATATGGCACAGCGAGCAGTTTGGTGGAGTTTCACATCAAGTACGAACAGTTCGCCAAGGCAGTGGATGTTATGATCAAAAAGCGACTGCCTGCCGACGAATTTGTCGATATCTACATGAGGTGCTTGAAAGTCGGTTCTGTCACCGTTCTACAGGCTGCGATGTCGGAAATCGACCCCAGTTTGTGTATTTGGAAGGTAAATTTAGACGGTTCTAGAATGTTTTAAATTGTGGATCACACGCCGATCGTCTCGTAGCTAGATCAACGCGAGTGAGAGACATCTGGGCGTGTGGTTGACCGATTATTTTAAGTCTCAATCCGGGATTTAACTCAAAATCAATCAACTCCACACAAAGGGCTCGCGCCTCTCAAAGCAGTGCATTAAATATGCCTTAATCTGGGAGTAACAAATTTCTATGTCATCATCTCAGATCTAGTCAGCTAAAAAAGTCAAGTTGTTACGTGTTCTAGATTGAAACTTTCGAATTTTTTAACGCTAGAATGCGTTTGTGTGAAATCATTCAAGTTTACCGCCTTTGCAAAAACGTGGCTTATTTGCCAGTTTAGTGTCTTCCACATTGCTACTTGGCCTAGATTGGAAATTGGCAAACCTTGAGAGCGAACGCGTATTTGGGGCCAAAATCAATATTTTCATTAGCATTACATTATTGCAAATACATTTGTGAAATAACTAAAGTTGGCCTCACTTTAGGACTACCTAGTGAAGATCTGCCGCCACTTGACCCAACAGAACTTATTTCACAGTCTTTATCAGCTTCAACTATACATGGGGGACTACGTGCGAGCCGCGATGAGTTGCGTGAACTTCTACGAGGATAAAGCCACGACTTTTAGCGATTTGCAGCAGCGCAGACATTATTTAACGGAGGCCCTCAGCCATTTATCCCGTGGAAGAGAGCAGGAACAATGGGTGGCAGTTACTGCAGGTTGTTGCGCGCTGGCATCCGATTGGGGCGCATTATAAATCGCTCGGTTGCAGTGGAGACGGACAAATCTGGAAACACCTTCGAGATAACCAGCATTGTGAGCAATCTGATCAAGCAAATGAGCACCGAGGAGATTGAGAGGCATTCAGCCACCATAAGGAAGCAGCTGGAAGTGGTGGAGTTTCTAGCCCAATGTGAAACTGGCCAAGTTTCACCCATGGAAGTTTTCCTGGAGATTTTCCCTAATCCAAGTGGGTTCCAATCCAATTTAGCAGCGATCTCTCTGTCGTAATCCTGCACGCGGTTGTTATTGCAGATAAACTTCCCAAGCACCGGATCTGGGTGCCAACACTGCTCGGCTCGGAAGAACAACGGATGTACATGGCGGTTCTTTGCATTGTCTGCGCCGAAGACTTTGGCAAAGGTTTCGACTTTGGATCTTGGTAAGCTGCAACGCTCAGAGCAACTTCCAGCTAAATTCCGCGTGGATTTTCAGCATAGCCAACGAGTTCCAGCAGCTAAAACCGCTCAAAGTGTATAAGGAAACCGCCAGATATCTTGCCAAAGTAGGCAAAACCGAAGCCATCACCAATCTGGTGGTCCTCATCATGCGCACCCTGAAAGATCAGAGGGTGAATGACATTTGCGACGAAGTCCTAATTTTGGCTATAACGATTCTTTCGAAAACCGATGCGATTGAGGCGGAGGTTGAGGAACTGATCAAGCTCATTTGCGACAAATCTGCTATGGTAAGCTTGGCATTTGAGTCTGGGTTTAATTAGAGAAACTTTGTGATTGTTTTTTGGCAGATTTGCGCCTATATTGAGACCAAACAGCTGAAAAAGGCCTACTTCTTGGCGGCCAAGTACAGAAAAGTGAAGGACATGAAGAATATACTCAGAGAGGCTGAGCTGACCAATCAGGGCTTCCTCAAGGATCTGTGTCAGAAGGCCATTCAATACTTTAATAAAACATCCGCGGCTTTTGAGGAATCTGACTAAAAATCTACAATATAAGACTGACTCGCTTTAAACGGCTGTGAAATAGGTAAGTTGCGTTATTGATTGTTACCAGATTTACTATATAGTTTATTAGCAGTAATTAAACAAGAAAAATATTCAAGCCTGCCGGCTCAACCTAGTTTTGCCAGCAATAAAGTAATATATTATATTTACATAAAAATATATAAATGAATCACATGTGAATATCGCAAATGGTTCATCTAAAACAATTGCCATTGCTATTAAGTGTAAACCAAACCAATAAACCATTCTATACATTTAGTGGCTATTTGATTGAATCGGAATCCTGCGAAAAATAAGTATTGCAGGCTTCTTACTGAGATACGAAGAAATTGGGCAGTGTAGTTGTTCTATATAAAAATAGAGCTTATTAAATTAATTATTTCACTAGCAGTTGGGGCTTTAGATGAACCATATGTTTACTTCCTTCAGCGCAACTGCTTTGCAATGGCAAGATAATTTCAGTCCGATGTGAGATTCAGAAATGAGCAAAATCCCTCCCTTTTTGTTAAATACGAAGGAAAGTTTTATAATACCGCAACCAATGAAAAATCACCAAAATCTATTGATGATCTTCTATATGGTTCTCCTGCTGCTCCACGTTGTTGATATCAGCGCCTGCTTTCTCCTCAATTTCCGCATTGAGTTTTGCGAAGAAAATTGGATCAATTTCGCTGATTTTCTTCAGAAAATTCTCCTTCATTTCAATGTTCCACTGTGTGAACCATTCCTTGAACAGTTTGATCTGAAAGCAACAATAGATTTTCAACGGAAAACTTGCCGATGTACAAAGGAATTTCAAGATTACGGTATTGTTTGAATAACTTACACGGCACTCAAACAAGGACATCGGTTTGTCGTTGTAGTTCATGTTGGAAATGCTGTTAACAATGCCGTTCACATACGCCTTGTGGGCATAGTTTTCGGCTAAAATCAGCAGAAAATCCGACTTTTGCAGCTCGCTCCACTCACCAAACCATTGCAAAAGGTAGCGCAACTGAGCGCTGGGGTTTAGTGCAGTCATTGTATCGGGCTGGGATGCTAATTCGGATTTTTTCGCACTGTGTTCTTTAGAATATACGTGGTGCACTTAGGGCAAGCTGTCTCGGTCACTAATCGGATGCAAATGGCTTGACAAATCTACATTTTTTCACTATTCCCAATGTAATTAATTCATTCCAACATTTGGCAAAATAACTGGACTTCTAGGTTATACTGTCAGTTTGACAATCCTTGTGTTTTGTTCAATGATTTTCAGTTTTGCTTTGTTAGTTGTGACGTAAATTTAGCTTAGTCACTGCTGTTTGTTTTGTCCTTAATTACTTCAATAAAAATCAGGCTGTTTCGGTTTTTTATAAATCCAATTGCTATAAATAGCAAGGCCTCAAGTCAGTTGCAATCATTTCAAATTGTTGCTTTAAGTTGAAAAGTTATTCATTTTAGTCAATTGCTTTGTTTGGCTACATGACGTCAGAACGGCGCCGGTTCTCCATGAAATAGCTTGGGGCTTAGTCTAACCTCAATTTAGTGTCAGTTTTGTTTTGAAAACATTCGCTCTTAACTTAAATTTTTTTTTAGTTATTGCTTTAATAGTGTGTAGTCTTCAGTCGTCTGTGGTTATTGCCTAGTTTTAGCGAATTAAGCAGTTTTTAGCTAAGGAGTTTACCTGGCGCTAAGTACTAATTCGGGTAAGTTTGATTTAAGCATTGTACTTAGTGGGTATCTACTTTTAACTAGAAATTGATCCAGTGCTCATGTTATTGGGCATTTGTGTTGTATTTCATGATTTGCGGGCTTCTCTAAGGACTCAGCTCGCCTCTTTAATTGTTAGTTCTGATTTTTTCAATATTGTCAAAAATAAAGGTTTTTTGTGTTTTCTCAAGAAGACACACTGTATAAATCAGGCATTGTTCATTAGTCTTAAGTTTTCCAAGTTTAAACAAGAAAGTCCAATTTTGCAGTGAAATGGTGCAAGACAACAGCATCCAATACGTGGCCCCTAAAACTAAACTGCACAAGTTTTGTGCGGTAATTTTGGAGAGAAAACTGCAGACGCAAGTCATCCAAATGGATGATAGTGTTCTTATCTACGTGAACGATATTCAACGGCCGTGTTTCAACTACCTATCAATGAGCATGATGACCAGATTCTCCACCAATCCAAGTTCGACTTCTTTGCTGGGACACGATGCTGCTCATCCTGGAAATGGCATTGCCGGACGTCTAGCGAAAAAGCTGAAGAAAACAGTCTATCTTAGCTGGAACTGGGACGAGCGAGGCTCCGGAAGTTTGCTGTTGGAGAAGCGGATTTTCGAGGAAATTGCAAAGTGTCCAGAAAAATTCTAATTACATACATACATTGTTCTTTGCCTCTATTCACTCTTACTATATTATAAATATTATATATTATAAAAAAATAACGTTAATTTGTCTATTATTTTAAATATTGTTTAAGATGTCCAGAGCCATCATCAGCGCATGATTTCAATGCAGCCTTGTCGTCGTTTAGAACAAGGAGAAAACGGGAAATATTCCTTTGAAAACACAAAACAACCACATGTGAGATTGTTGTGGAAAAATTAACTCTCCCTTTCCTTGGATAAAAAAAAGCCTTTAGAAACTAAGAGACATGAGTTTATGACATCGCAGCCGCCTTTTTTTTAAAAATTGCAATATATTATCTATAGTAAAGAAGAAGGAAACCATGACCACCAAAGTCCCCAGATTTGATTCCTCTTGATTTTTCTTTGGATTGTGCTGCTTTAATGCCAGCCGAAATTTGACATTTTTTTCTTTTCGAAAACAGTGAAACCAGCGAGATTTTTTGTATGCATTCAGTACGACAAAGACTGTTCTATAAGTGGCCATTATCAGGAAATGTTTAAAAAAATGTCTAAATTGTGTCTGGTTTTTGTGGTGGTTTTTCCAGCCCGAAATTAACATTTATTTCCTCTGTAACTTGCGAAGTGAAACCATCAATTTCCAATGCATTTTGTAGGACAAAGTCTCTTCTAGAAGTGAACAAAGTTTCGATTTATCAGCCATCATCAGGCAATTTTTGACAATTTTGCGAAGTTCCGTTTGGTTTACGAGGTTGGTTTTGGAGGCCGGAGTTTGGGATTTGCTTCCTCAAGAACTGATGAAGTGAGAGAGTCTCATTTGTACGGATTTTATAGGGCAAAGTCCGTTCTACAAGTGGTAAACGTTTCGATGTTCAGTCATCATCAGGCAATTTTCAAGAATTTTTCAAAATCGAGTCTGGTTTTTGCAGGCTGCAGTCATTTATTTTGTCTGTAACTTGCGAAGTAAGAATGTCAATTTTGCATGTTGGGGTGCGTCAAGTCCCTTCCATGAGTGCCCAAATTTCGACTTTGAGTCATCATCAGACAATTTTCAAGAAAATTCTAACTTGCGTCCGGTTTTCGAGGTGTTTTTTTCAGGTCAATTTTCACCATTTATTCCCTCTGTAACTCGCAAAGTGAGAACCTCGTTTTTGATTGTATTTTGTAGTGTAAAATTCCTAACTTATATAGGTGAAGAAAGTTTCGATTTTTAGGCATCATCAGGTCATTCAATTTTTCAAAATTGTTTTGGCTTTTGCGGATATGTAAGCAGGTCGAAAATTCACATTTATTTGCTCAACACCTTGCAAACCTAGCGAGTCAACCTGTATACATTTCGTAGGGCAAAGTGTGTTCTATACGTGAAAAACATTTCAATATTGACTCATCCTCAGGGAATTTTCACTCATTTTTTTTCAATTTTGCTGTATTTTGCGCTGGTTATTTCAGGATGGAGTTTCAAAGTTAGTTGCTCAGAAACCGTTCAAGGTGGAGATTGACTTTTGTGTGAATATTGTAGGACAGAGTACGTTTTATAAGTGACAAACGTTTCGATTTTGAGTCATCATCAGGCTATTTCCAGGAATTTTTTAAATTTCCTATAAAATGTTGGGGGTGTTTCTGTAGACCGAAGTTTCGCATTTATTTTCTCAGAAACTGGTAAAGTGGAATATTTATTGTCGGGTGCGTTTTGTGGGGCCAAATGCGTTCTATCTGTGAAAAAAGTGTCGATTGTAAGTGGGTGTCAGGCCATTTTTGGGAACTTTTCAAATGATTGATTTTTATTTTGAAAGTTTCTTTTGCAGGCCTAAGCTTGACATTTATTTTCTCAGTATTTTGAGAAGTTGGCGACTCATCTTTGAATGCATTTACTAAGGCGAAGTGTGTTCTATAAATGGAAGGCGTTTCGATTTTGCCTCATCCTCAGGGAATTTTCAGGAATTTTTTTCAATTTTGCTGTATTTTGCACTGGTTATTTCAGGATGAAGCTACAAAGCTAGTTGCTCAAAAACCGTTCAAGGTGGGGCTTGACTTTTGTGTGAATATTGTAGTACAGAGTACGTTTTATAAGTGGCAAACGTTTCGATTTTGAGTCATCGTCAGGCTATTTTCCAGGAACTTTTTAAATTTGCAATAAAATTTTGTGATTATTTATGTATACCGAAGTTATCACTTATTTACACAGAAACCAGTGAGGTTCAGTAGATTCATTTTTTAGTGCATTTTGTAGGACAAGTTGCCTTCTATATGTGGAAAAAGTTTTGATGTTAAGTCGTCATCAGGTTGTTTTCAAGAATTTTTTTCAAATTTGCAATCGAATTTTGTGTTTTTTTTATCTAGGCCTAAGTTTGGCATTGATTTTCCCGGAAACCAGTGAAGCAGCACTTTTCAGTGCGTGTTGTCGGACAAAAAACTTTCTATACACAAAAAAAGTTTCCATTTCGAATCGTGATCCGGCAATTTTTGAGACGTTTTTACAGACAACATTAATCGGATTGATTCTGTCGTCGTTTTCGATGTTGTTTTATTAAATCAATTAATTTTATATTATAAAATATTTAACTAGTTTAGTATTCATACTATTCCTTAATTAATGTTAAGCTAACGAATTCATACCCTCTGAAAGTGCACGAAATTTTAAATAAATGCACGATAGATAAAATCGCAGTTGAAAAACGGCCAAGATGTGACAATGAAGAAGTCTGAGCTCGATCGGATCGGCTAAATAAGGACTGTTGTATTTTATGCGTTACAAATTTATTGTTTGGAATATTCAATCGCTGCTGTAAAAATCGCTTCTTCCCACCACTGTTTAATGAGAAAACGAATTTTGTTTACGCGTGCAAAGCTTCAAAAAGTGCCTATTCACTCAGCACTTAAATCTCGATTAAATAATAGCTATTTATCTAATCAGTTCATTTTGAACCGCACTACGAGTGGGCGCTTTCGTTAGCAAAACCTTGCATCGCGCGATCCAAGCACAATGGCAGCACCCAGTTTAAAGTTGCTGAATGGGTTCCAACTACCCTTGGTGGGCTTAGGAACCTTCACAGTAAGTACCATATTCGCCGGCAAAACCGACTGTGTGAGCCTTTTCTTGCAATAGGTTACCGATGAAAAAGCCCTGGAAACTTCGCTAAACACCGCACTGGAAAGTGGCTACCGCCACATCGATACGGCCACCGTGTACAATAACGAGCACATCATCGGCAAAGTGCTGAAAGCCTGGTTTGACTCTGGAAAACTAAAGCGACAGGAAGTTTTCATCACGACCAAACTGCCTCCTGCTGGTCTGCATCCCGATAGGTATTTTGAAGGCATTGCGGCCCTTTTGGACGCAAGCATCTTGTTTAGACGCTCGATATTTCAAGTTCCTTCTTGCTGAAGTTGGGATTTTTTTTTACGTTGACCAAGACAAATTGCAGTGTTTCCTTGCAGGCTGGAAGAGTATCTGCTGAAATCTCTCGAACTGCTTCAAGTGGACTACGTGGACTTGTACTTGATTCATTTGCCGATTCATATACAGTCTTTTGGTGGTGCCAGCACAAATCTGGCGGCTTCGCAGCCCCAACCGACCGATCATCTTGCAGTGTGGAAGGTCAGAACGTGAACACGCAAAATAGCAGCAGCACGAAGGTGAATTTGAATTTTGAATCCAGAAACTGGAAGAGCAAGTGGATTTGGGCAGAACCCGCGCCATTGGAGTGTCGAACTTCAACCAAAGCCAAGTGAAGCGCGTGTTTGAAAATGCGCGAATCAAACCCGCAGCCAACCAGGTGGAGTTGCACATTTACCTCCAGCAGCCTGAGCTGGTCGATTACTTGCAAGCCAATGGCATCGTGCCTGTATCGTACTTTTCGCTGGGAAATCCCGGAATTAACGAATTTCTGGTGAAGAACGGGCGTCCGTAAGTTTCGCAGCGGGTCTTGGTGGGAGCTGGAAAGTAGATGGTTGTTTTAGGCCAAGGAACGTCGGCAGTGAGCTGCTGGATGATCCAGTTGTGCGGGAAATCGCCACTAAACATGGGAAAACATCTGGGCAAGTCTTGCTGAAGTATCTGGTTCAGAAGAAGATTGCGGTGATCCCGAAAAGTGTGACTCCCAGCAGAATCCGCGAGAATATTGGGCTGTTCGATTTTCAGCTGGATGCTGCTGATGTTGGAGCTCTGCAGGCTCTGGATAAGGGCGAGGCCGGCAGACGCTCGACCATGGCTTTCAATCAAGCGTACGTTTCAAGCGGCATTTTCCGTTCAATCCCCCATAACTCTTGGGTTTTTTCAGTATCGTCGATCATCCAGAGTACCCATTTCCACGCATTGCCAGGACTGTTTAAACCGGTTAATTGACGCAATAAACGCACACTAATTACAATGAGTGGTTTTCTTGATAGCGAACTTGAGATTGGTTTAAGGGTTTTGTTGTTTCAGCAGACGAAATATTACAGTTGTGTTAGCAA